TGTGATGTACTTTATCAAATGCCTTACTGAAGTCCAAGTAAATTATATCCACAGCATTCCTCTCATCCACTAATTTTGTCACTTGGTCAAAGAATGCAATAAGATTTGTCTGGCATGATCTATTTTTGACAAACCCATGTTGGCTTTTAGTAATGACTTTGTTTGCCTCTAGGTGTTCGTTGATTCGTTGTTTGATTATTTGTTTATGTGTATCCCGCCTTTACTGTTTTCATAAATAACTCAAGGTGTGAACATATCTATCACACTTTTCTCCTCCTATTTTCCCCATAAAAATAATCCTCTTAAGTGGGTTGGGCTAAGAGACAGTGACTGGCCCAAGTCAACCAGCAGGCTTTCACTATTTTTAAAAAATTACTGAGAATCAAAGATAGATTATGGATGGACCTGTAACAATAAGGGAAGTTTCTGAAGCTATAAAAAAGATTAAACCAGAAAAAGTACTAGGACTAGATGGTCTACCACAGGCATGTCAAACTCGCGATGTCACATGACATCGCACAATGTGTTGGGACTTTCTCCCCATTGCCGGCAATGGGGTGGGCGCGGTTTCGGTGTGACACATCCAGCTTGCGGGCCGGCAATTTGACAGGCCTGGTCTACCAGGTTCTCATTATAAATATTTTGAGGATGAACTTTTGCAGTCACTCCAAAATACGATGAACTCTATCTTACAGGTAGATAAGGTACCAGAATCTTAGAAAGAGTATTAATATATAGTATTAATGTATAGTATTAATATCTAAACAGTGACAAGATTTAACTTCAACAAAAAAACTATAGTCTGATATTATTGAACACTGATTATATGATATTTACAACCATCTTAGCACATAGATTGAAAATAATTCTACAAGAATTTATTCATGGAAACCAATGTGGATTTTTTCCTACAAGATAATTAAAAGATGTCAGAATGGTATTGGACATTATAGAAGAATTCCAATATGTCACCATAAATTAATGATTTATGCTTAGTTATCATTTCTCTTCTATAATGTGCTTCTTCAAGTAACAGCCATAAAGTATTTTTGGATACAATGTAAGTTTATATGAGGGTGAAGGTTCGTTCTCCGAGCTTGTGGGTTGGTTTCCGAACATTTCGTTACCAGGCTAGGTAACATATTTAGCGGTGTTTAGTGGAGATCTGTGTCAGTGTTCTACTTATATAAGGGCTTCAGATATGGGAGTGTTAGTTAAAAACCAGGATCCATGAAGCAGTCAAACTCCAAACTCCACAATCCCAAATCCCTAATCCCACTGACACTAAACAACACCAGTTCAATTGGAGCAACACTAAAATCATCTGCCACGCTACCACCCACCACGCTTGGGAGTTCATTAAAGCCTGGCACACCACAAGCAATTCCATCAACAGACATTTTGATCTACAACCAGCATATGAACCCCTCAGAATCCAAATCAATCAAACAACCATCCAGAGACAGTACCAACCCTCAAGCCCCTCTCCCCCCCAGCAATTCACCTTCCAATGACCCTGACCTATAATCTCCCCATCACAAGACCCATTGCCAGCCTCCCACTGATGACTCACTCCTGGCCCACTAATTCATACCCTCTAACGACCTTTACCTGAAGTACCTCCCCATCACAAGCCTCTCTCTGATGACTTACACCTGGCCCATCACAAGATCCTCACTTGACACTCCCACATCTGAAGTCCTTATAAGTGGAACACCGACACACACAGCTGAAGATGTTACCTAATCTGGTAATGAAATGTTCAAAAACCAACCCTAAAGCTCAGAGAATGAACCTTTACCCTCATCCTACACCCGAGCTACAGATATTCGCCACTATTGTAAGTTTATATTTATTCCATACTGTCAATGTAGCATGTCTAATAAAATGATTTTTGAAATCTACCTTAACCTTAACTTTTTGTTTTGCTTTCTTTTTCATTGTTTACTTCTTTCTTTCTTCTACTTCAATTATTAGTTTTTATTTCTTTATTTAATTTTTTAAATAAGGTTATCAAAAAAAATCAGTTCTCAGTATGTTTCAAGGAAGAATAAAAATGGAACATATCTAAAATGATCTATGTGCTTAAAAATTTAGTGAGCTGAAAGTATTTTTAAAAAGTCATTTGTTGTAAAAATGTACATGATTTTAGTAAAATTCAACTGTTTTAAAATGCATCAGCACTCACTTGCTGGTGAGTAATCTCATCACCATCCAATCTCGAGGAAAGACACTCATCTTCATCAGATTTCGAAACACACAGAAAATCTTCAGAAGAAATTCCTAGTAAAAACCAAGAAAACAATGTTAAAACATTACTAGCTATGTGTTTTGAAGCAAATATGCACCTTCAACAAGGGAAAGAAAAGTTGTAAGTTGCAAAATGGGATGAAAAATCGCTTACAGATTTAAGAAGACCATGGCAAACTATTTTTGAAAACTCTAGGAACTTTCCAAAATTGACTCAAAATAAATAAATAAAAGATATAAAGAAGAATGATTATCAGAATCATCTTCAGGGAATAGCTGCTGCACACTAGTCAAAGATAAGAAAAAGTATTTTATAATAGAACCCCCTTGGAATCCCCTCCGGACTGCTAACCATTTTTTTCAAAGGGAACGTAATTTATTTTTTAAAAATAAAATCCAAACTGCCTTATGATCTGTCATCTTAATAACAATGGGCATATGTGCTGTATCTGGATTAGGTTAGAATTTGTTTCTTTAAAACAGTCTATTATTGACTAGGAGTACACTTAGATCTCCTCAAACTCATGGTATCATAAAATTCAATGTCACCAGCATATTAATAATATCAAACTCCAAATTTCTAAATGCTGAATCCTTATGATATGTAGTGTATGGGAGAGTAACATGAAACCTTGGCCACAGCTTCTTGCCAATTAGCATTAAAACATGTGGGAATTTAAGAATCAGCTGGTGGAACTTCTAAATAGTATAGCCTCTACTTTTTACCACCTTCCTGTCTGTATTGTTTTTCCTCTTATAAGGTTCTATATCTATCTTTACATTACTATTCATATAGGAAATCTGCCAAGACTAAAACATGCAAGGACAATTCTTTTAAGTTACTTAGTCAACATCAAAATATTGTTTTGTAAAAATATTATTTATATATCACTTCACATTTAATAAATATGTTAATTTAAAGTATTAAATATTTAATACATATTTTATTTTAAAATATTTTAAATCATTCTTTGGGTGTTTACCTTTCTATGGGGAGTTCACTGATAGCAGAATTACAATTAACAAAAGAACAAAAATATGAAGCATCAGTGAAATAATATCAACACAAAAGTAGCATAAGCATGAGTATTGTATCCAATAGATTCTAGCCTAAACACAGTAAGTATAATTAGATTCAACTCTATTAAATGATTCAATTATTTTTTTAAAAAGCTATACATGTCAGGTGACACAGGAACATTTAACTGCTAATTGATTTGCAACCTCAGTATGCATCTGGGTCAGCTGCAATTTACATATCTACTGAGTGCAATAGGCTCAGTTCCCAGTCAAATATGCAGGATAAAATAAATAATATGGAATGGCTTTGAATCTGTGACAAAAGAGAAAGAACAGACTTCTATATAATCAAGATCATTCTCAGCATTCCAGAGATACAAGATGTACATCAGCACAAAAACACAGATTGGAAATATAACTAGAGTACATTTATAATCTTACCTTTAGCTCATCTTTACTCTGAAAATTTTCCAGTAGATGTTGAAAGTGAGTGTCAGACATCTGACGAAGTAGAGACAAAAGACAGGATACATATTCCCCCTGTTAATTTCAAAGAATAATTATTTTAGTGGAACAATCATATTCACAAGTCTAAATAAAAAATTAACTTGGAGGTATAGGAAAAAGTTGTAGGGACTGAAAATGGAGCGATATTTATGAAATGAAACGCTATAAAATTTCTTCTTCTCATGTCTATACTTTTTAAATAAATTCATACTATGTAGAAAGTGTTTATATAGAGAGATGTGTAATGGTATGTGGGAATATCTTGGGGAAAGATGGTCAGAGAGGCTGCCTACGAAACAATCAGACAAAAGAGGTAGGAATCCCCTTTCTCGGTTAGAGAAAGAATCCTAGAAAGGACCTGCCCTAATGAGCAAGCAGGTAAAAGTGGCAGTGGGCAGTTTGTACTTGCAAGATTTTGTTAATATAGCCTTACAATAAAGTAGATTTAGCCCACATAGTAAACTGTCCAGTTTACCCATGGGGGCTGACAAATAGCCACCAAATCAAATTAAAAATGGAATACAGAATAATTAGAGGCTTAAAGGATGAAAATTTGCTTTTCCTCTCTGCAATGGAAAATATTGTTTCTGTGAAAATTCATTCATTCATCCCTATAAATAGGGCTTTGAGTTTTTTTCTATTTATCATAGCATGCAGTACAGCATTGTTTTCTACCTTTCTCATTTCAGTTGAGGCTAAGTTCACACAACACACTATCCAACCTCATAACAATAATATGGCGTAAAATTCCAGTCATTTAGTTTTTTACTTAAGCACCCGCTAATTATTATAGCAAATGCCTTAGAAATAATTAAAAATATAATCCAGAATAATAGGCTAAATAAACTAACAGCAGCATGGCTACAGTTCTTAGCTTCATCCTGAGAGTTCAGGACAGTTATTTTTAGTTTTGTAGCACAAAGAAAAGAATGAATGAACAAAGAATGAATGAAAAATGCAGTAAACTAGAGATGAGAGGATAGGGAAAGGGAGCAGGCTAGATAAGCAGGAAATAGAATTTGATGGTTAGTTACTAACAGTGATTTCAGCTGTGCATTGTGGACAACGCTGCCCTCTTACCGCCTCCTGAGATTGTGATTTACTCATAATAGTCAGAAGAGTTTGTAATAGTACATCCAGGAGGCTCTCCACCATCATTTCTACCTCCTCAATTACATCTGTCTCCTATAGCAAACAGTTAAAACATAAAGAGTTAACATCTTATAAGATGGAAATGAAATTTTTTTGAAGTTGCTTTTGGCTGCCTGTTCATTCATTTATCTATGAGGTTTATAGTCTAGAAGACAAGATTGACTAGAGGACAGTGACTGTTTTCATGGGAACACAGGGAAAACTTGAAAATAGAGCCACTTAGTTCTATTATTATATTACTAGTATTTAGTTAGCTTTTATCTACTTTTCAACTAATAAAAGGCTCCTAGAGGAAATTATAAAAATTGCACTAGGTTTTGCTAGAACCTGCTTTCAAAACTTCCAATAAAGGATGTAAAACACAAGAAAGGAGAATGGGAAAGAAAAAAATGTATTACCCAAGTCAGGATATCTAAAAAGGTTAAATCATGGCAACTAGATCAAACTTTGGTCCAGTTGCCATGATTTCACCTTTTTAGATACTTTTGGCCTGGATGATTGAGTCTTCATTTACATACCTAAGTCAGGATGGTTAAAATATAAAAATGTATTTTAACCCATTTCATTCTAGGCTTAATGCCCAATAGTCATTCTTATCTTTAAAACCCGTAATGATGCAGTCCTATGGTCCCAGATAGAGCATCCCAAGAAGTCATAGATTACATAAAATTTCTCCTCAGAAATCATAATAAAGCCCCCCCCTTTCTTGTTTTTAACACCATATTTATTTAAATCTACAATAATGGATATCTTGTACTCCTAGATCAAATGTTCTTATAATAATCTACTATCTGATTAAAGACAATTAATTTATTACCTTAATATTTTGCATACAGTCCTGTTCACAAATAAAATTCTATGATTAGTCTTATGCTCAGCTCTCCCTTTTAAAATATTTTCAAATGTAATATTTTGGGATATTGTTAAACTTCCTTTGGTATGTTTGATACTGTCTAAGATGTTATAGTCCAAACCTATTTTCAGAATTTGTACATCAGTGCTAATGTTTCTACTTAAATAGCCATCTTTGAAGGTAGATGGGAAGATATTAAATGAACAATTTTAGTAATGTAATGTTATTGCTGTCATTATTATTTGCTTGCTTAGCAGTACTATCTATCCAAAATAAGTTGAATAATTTTAGAAAAAAAAATCAGGAAATTATTTAAGAATCTAGGACATACCATACAGTGGCCTGGATTTTATATGTTACACAGAATTTTAATCATGTTTATTTTTCTGCTAAAGATGCAGAACAATTCTATACAGGCTGGCCAGCAGCCATATATCTTCTCTCAAGTAAATGTTTGAAAACTTTGTTAAGCACAATAACTAATGCACAATTTTCTGTCCTTTATGTAAAAAAACATGCATTCAATAATCCATTATACTAATGAGAAGTAGGTCACAAACAACTATACTATGTTGCAACTTTTGTATAGTAAACTTAAGAAGTCTCTGTCTACTATCTATCTATCTATCTATCTATCTATCTATCTATCTATCTATCTATCTATCTATCTATCTATCTATCTATCTATCTATCTATCTATCTATCTATCTATCTATCTATCTATCTACTATCTTTCTATCTTACTATCTGAATCTAATGGTGCCTCGATCAAAACTACATAGAGAAGATACTGCTAAGAATTCCAGAGCAGATAAGCAACTCTTTTTGTTGTCTCAGATGAAGATGAATATGATGAAGGACCACAGGTAATAAGATTCGCCGGGATTCTAGGAATGGGAAACCAGAGGCTTGACATTATTTTACAGGAGAACTCAAAATACTGGAATGAGAAGCCTGCCTCATTTTAATTCACAAGCATATATAGAGAACCTGAAGAACTACCATTAATAACAAAGAAGGATGCAATAAAATTAATTTAATTGGCCTTTTAATAAATAGTACAACAGCTTAATTAGAGGCCTCTATGAAACAGATTCTAAGGGAAACCCATTTTTATTCACTGAAATGCTAATTCTGAATAGCTAATTTACAAACTGTTGCAAAAGGTTATATAGCGCTTACAGTACAGTAAATAAAATCTGTAAATTATCTTTACTGGCAGCCTTATTTTCCTTCACTGTTTAATTAATATTGCTTCCCACAGAAGCTAAATTGTCAAAAGTCATGAACCTACAATATTATCAACTGTCACTCATAGGAGATATTATTACATCAAGCAACAGAAATACTGACTACCAAAAGTGAGGGAAAAGGAAATATCTAAACAGTGCTTTTTTTCTAAAAAAAAAAAAAAAAAAAAAAGGTGCCGGAACTCACACACATCATACAACCTGCCTTGCCTACCCTACAAGGTTCCATCCAAAAAAGGTGCCGGAACTCCGTTCTGGGCGTTCTATGAGAAAAAAAGCCCTGTATCTAACTAACATGAAATCTCTAACTGTTGATATTCTCAGGTGAACCATAAAATACTGGATGACACTGAAATTCACATTTATGTCCTCCTTAGGTATACTTAGATATTTATTAGTGTGGCTATATTAATTACTAACCTAAATGAATTCATACAATGCTTTCACTGCCTTTGTCTTTATTATTTTTAAAATTATTCTGAAAGTAAGATATGCTTGTGAACTTCAGGGTCCCTTTTCTTGATTCTAACAGTTCACTTAGGTTCAAAGGAAATGGTACAGATTTGTGCACCAATTGCACCTATTCCTGGACAGGAAGGCCTTATTCATAGTCACTTGAGGACTTCCTGGTTGGACTATTACAACAGGGCTGCTCTTGAAGACCAGAAAAGTTACAGCAGGTCCAGAATACAGCAGCACATGAAGTGTTTGGAACTCATATTGCACTACTGTTGTGCAAGCTGCACTGGCTTAATTCCCTTTAAAGTCCTACTTGGCATGGGACCAGGCTATCTGAGGGACCATTCTCCACTGGGATGGATACAGTAAGCATGGTACAGATCCCATCCTTTTAGGCTGTCATCTTAGGGGACCAGAAAACATGCCTTTTTCATAGCAGCCTCTGCCCTGTAGATAATCCTTCTCCCTGGATCCAGCAGGCCTCTATTACTTTAATTTTTTGGAAGGCCATAAAAAGCTGGCCCTTCCCCAAAATGCTAGAATAGGATGAAATAGGAGCATATGGATGGTTCTGTTGGATGCATCCAAGGGGGATGATTGAAGTGCCAGGGTATTTTTTTGTTTATTTGTTTGTTTGTTTGTTTCACTGTAGTGAGCCCCCCAGAGTTGAGTTCTTAAGATGGGAGGTCCTTATGAATTTTTTAAATAAATAAATTGAATAAGGCATCTTAGACTGCACCACTTTATTAAAAAATGTGGACATCAGTTCCCTAATTAAATCTCAAGTATTTCTAAAACTGGTTATACTAAGTACAGAACCATAGATATTAGTGTAAACACTATGATGAAGACATGGCTTTACTTTGGTGTGCTATAGCCATACAAGAATATTAATATAGACATAAATATGGTTTTCAGGATCCATTTTTTTCTTTTAAATTAAACATGAAAAACATTAATAATATTTAAAGGGAATGCAATGTCCCCGGGCTATACCTCTGTGTAGAATGGGCCCTGACGTTTAAAAAAATATTTCTTAATTTCCTAATCTCTTCATTTATTAGTAAACTCATATACCCATTGAAAAACAATGAGAGAAATTCAAAAATTATAGGACAATCTTCTCATGTACATAAAAAAGAGGGAAAGCAAAAGCAGATGAAACAGTTCAAGGCAAAATCAGTGTTTATGAACAACAATATGCAAAGTTGTTCAAAGAAAACAGAAAAAGAGAGAGTATAGTATTCTGGAAGAAGATGTGGCTGGTTAGAATAGAAATATTATGCAGTATAATTTTTGTACATTAATTCTAATGAATCAACTTTTCAAAATATAATTTACTTTATGCTATTTTAGGGATACAGTAAATCAGACATATCAAACTCGCAACGTCACGTGACGTCGTGCAACATATCGAAACTTTTTCCCCATTGCCGGCAATGGGGTAGGCGCGGTTTCCTCGTGATGCATCCGGTCCACGGGCTGGCAGTTTGACACCCCTGCAGTAAATGAAACCTAAAATAGTTTTATATATTATGTTCCTAAAGTGGCATGAAACAAATTCTGTTCATATTGGGTATGCAAAGAGACATATTATAATGATTAATATTATAACTGTTACCTGAGAAAGAAAATAAGCGACTGTCTACTGTACGAGCTATAGATTGCAATTTAACCACATCCATAGATTGTCCAATATGCACTGTACTGGGCATGCTCCCAAGAGTTCCTCGCACAAACTCTGCTACTTCCTGTACTGTAAACATCTGCAATAGCTCATCAAAAATTGCAGGGAAAGAATTCAATAGAGCAGCCTAAAAAAAATGGAAATATGAGACTTTTTGAACTCTTTTAGTAGTAATGATACAAAAAAAAAGCAGGAAATCCCTCTTTAAAGTTTCATGTTTCTATTAGAAAGAGATTTTGGAAATTATGGCATTGTAACATGATTTCATAATACAAAGGAAGCCTAAACTACAACATCTTATAGATACTGAAGCACACACTAAAGACCACCCCCAGACTGCTCATGTCTTCTGAGTTGCTTTCAGATCACATTTATAAAAACTGAGTATTTTTGTGGCTATCACAGTTGATAGGGAAGATCAATAGTCCTCTTCAGACATTAAATTGTTTTAAATATATATGGAAGTAGGAGATGACATTACGATGCTTCATGAAATTAGAAAGCCATAGTGCTGTGATCATCTTCAAACCAATATAAAAGCTAAAGAAATCCCTGCAGATTTCAGCCCCAAAAGCACATTGTCTTATTGAAAAAATTGATAAACTGTGTATCATCAGTGGAAGGACCAAATCACCAAGTGCCAAAGCCAAAATCAACAATGAACAAGTCGGCCCACATTCTGTGTCACATGCGTCCGTGCATGTATCTTGTGGTAAGATGGGCAATCAATAAATTTAATAAAATAAATAAATAAAATATATGGCAATGATATTTTCATCCATCCAATTATATGAACTTCATATTTAGTGCCACCCAGATAGATATAACATGTTAAATTTTTACTCTTTATTTATTCAATTTCTATAGTCGCCCAACTCAACCAAGTGACGCATTTATTTCAAAACTTCCCACTACATGCCATGTTACAGTTTGTTTTAACTGCATTAGGGAAAGAGAGGTAAGTATGGTGAGAGCTTTGGAAGTAAATATTAATTTTCCAATGGTGTCCTCCCTCTTTCATTCCTATTATAATAATTTACAGTAATTAGTCTTAGAAAACTATTGTCTCAAATCAAAGGCACTTCTGAGCTCAATTTCAATATTGGTGATAAGGAAGAAGAACAGGAATACATTAGAAGATGAAAAAATTATCAGTCCTGTCCAATCCAGATGAACCTTCTCCTCCCTATCATCCCAGCTAAAGTTATCTTGTGTGAAAGCCCATTTGCAATACAGTGTGAATAGTTAGGAAGGAGTATTGGGGCATTCAAAAATATAAGAATTAACTTTTTGTTTCCTAGCTGCAACCTCATTTCCTGCCCCAAATCTAATGATGGAAAAAGTGAGCAACTCATTCTCACATCACTTAGGAAATCTTTTGATAGATTGTATCATATGATACTAGTAGCACATCTCCCTATGGTGAACAGTATTACCAGTGGGATTTGCAATAAGCCATAATTATTCCAAAATGGTTGTCCATGTTTCATGATAACATTGCACAAATATGTAATAATGCAATGATGTCATAACATCTGATGTAAATATGTCTGCAGGTATCCCCACTATGGATGCTTGTAAGTATGAGTGGTCGATCCTCCATAATTTTTTAAGAAGAGACTAGACAGCCATTTGTCTGAAGTGGGTGTAGGGTTCCTGCCTGAGCAGGGGGTTGGACTTGATGACCTCCAAGGTTCCTTCCAACTTTATTACTATTATTATTATTATTATTATTATTATTATTATTATTATTATTATTATTATTATTATTATTATTATTATTATTATTATTATTTCCCCGGCTACTCATTTCTTTTTCTTTTCTTTTCTTTATAAATAATAATTAAATTAAACATGGGTGGTGACTTCCATTGAAATATTTTAGAATTAATATTCTCAATCCAAAGAAATATAGACAAAATAAATAAAGATAATAATTAAATACCAAACCAAACAACCATTGTTATTTTAATTTCTTTATTTTTAAGATAAGTCAATTTCATCCCAGGGAAATATGCAGCAAATACTGCTATTATTTCCAGTGACAGTTGTATCAGAAGTGGTGATATCAAAAGACCTGTAATTAGAGAGAACATGATGCTCTTGGATATTTCCATGAAAAAAAAAATTAACAGAAAGAGGTTAAAATAAGACCAAAATTCATTATATTTTCATTATTGGTTCTTATTGGCTCTGCGTGAATATTTAGTTGTTTACAATATGACATGACTGAAACTCAATATTTAAGTTATTAAATATTCTTCTATTAGATTTTTGTTACTTTTTTATTATCATCATTAATATGTATTCTTTGAATTACCAGAGATAATCCAAAAGTTTGCCATAACTGATATAATTTCTCTCTAATGACTGGTGCTCATATTCAAAGTAATTCATGCAAACAGTAGAATAACTCTTATATATAAACGTACAGTTCTTTGCAAATCCTTTTATAGTTGCAAACATTGAAGTGTGCAATATAGTTCAGTTCTTTGTGCAGAAAAATGGACTGGATAAGGAAAAACACTCATTAGATACACCCATGATTAAATGTGTACAGGATATGGGGATAATTACTTACAGACTTAAATGACGGCCTTGCAATGCCACCACATTTTTGTGGGGCACATGTCCCAGCTCCGCTCACCTGTCCTTCAGGCTGAGGGGCCTATGGGGCAATTAGGGTTAAGGGGCAACACAGTGGCAAGTGGGAAACAAAAAAAGGTAAACTTTTGATGCATTAAAGTATTAAATAAGTTTTTGAATGAATATATAATTTTTTCAAGTACTGTGTCAGAGGTGAAAAAATAAAGTTAATGATTAGAAAACATTGCTATCAAAATTTTGTTTTCTTTAGAGAACAAACTATTATTGTTACTAGATTCCTCAGATTTCTTTCTTTCACAAATGTGCAACAATATTAAGATTCTTCTTAGACATATTAATAAGCCTGGAATACATATTACCTACTGGACAACAATTGAACATCTTAGCAGAATTCTCATGCTTGGGGCTTTTTACTGAGCCAAATATTATTTTACTAGTAAAATCTTTACAGAAAATGTTTATAAAATTGAACTGTGTTGAATGTGCCTGTGGGAAGAGATGGTGCATCTCCTCAATAAAACATACTGAGCCAACTATTAGTTTGCTGGTAAAATCTTTATAAAAAATGTTTACAAAATTGAATTGTGTTGAATGCTTCTTTGTGAGGGAATGGTACATCTCAGTAAAATATAGGTTGCCCTGGTAACTTTAAATAACTATAAACTAGTCTCCAATTTTTCCTTCTGCAGAAAAGGTTTTTTTTGTGGTTTACAGATGCAGAAACTGGAGGATAGATTATCATGACCCTTTTCATAATGATTCAGGCCCAGACATGAAACTGAATCCACACTGATCACTTTTCTGTCGTCCTGTAGCAAGAGTAAGATATTGATATAATCCTTCTGACTCTGCGTGTTCTCTTAGTCGCTTTGATATCATTGATAGTGATATTTTTCTGGACCACCTGAAAGGGTTAGGAATAGGTGGCACTGCTTTGTAATACTTCTTCTTAAATGGGCGGTTCCAGACAGTGGTAGTGGGAGTTAAGAGTTCATGCTCTATGGCTCTCTGTTGTAATGTGCTGCAGAAGTTGACATCTTCTCCTCTCTTACTTAACATCTACATAAAGGTACTGGTGATGGCCATCCAATAGCACAAAGGCAGCACTGGTGTGTAGATGATATTCAACTGTCTATCTTGACTCCAGACAAATAGAAGATATGATTGAGGTTTTATCCCAGAACTTGGAAGGAATAAAACTTTGGATAGGAATAAAAAGAGTCTGGTTCAATCTCAAGAAAGGGAAATAGTTTTCAGTATAGAAGCCCTCCAATTCCAAAGATATTGCATCTTTGACTCTGGATGAAGTTGTACTTCCCTTTCAGTGTTAATTCATAATCTGGGGCTTAACCATAGCTAAGAGCAGATGGCAACTGTGGTTAAGAAGGGCTGTTACATTGTTTTATCTTGTGCAACAATTATAGCCTTTCCTGCATTAATAGGCTTTGCTCAGTCACTTAACCCTTGGATTTCTCTCAGTTAGATTATTGCAATGTCCTCTGCATGAAGTGGTCATTGAAAACCATCCAGAAATTTAAATTGCTTCACAATAAGCAACTCAAGAAGTTTTGGACGCCCAATAATCTATCCAAGGAACACCTCTGCTTTGAGAGCTACACTGCTTATCAGTATTGTTCTGGGTGCAATTCAAGATGTTGAGTGTCACCTTAAAAGTGCTTCATGTTCAGGACTGGGCATCTAGGAACCACCTTCTCCCAATAGTCTCTGCCCGTCCTTTGAGATCTGAAAGTGAAGTTGTTCCAGTTGGCTTTTACAGGCTGTGGGATAATTTTTGTTATACCTGATGATTAAATGTAAATATGGGTTGTGGTTGTTCCCCAGGAAGCTGATGATTTATATTGCAATATAGCTATGTTTTTAATTTTTAATTTCATTACTATTTATGCCACTCAAAGACAGATATGACAGAAGCAGCATGTAAGTCCAGTAAAATAAATAAATAGAAAACTGAAAAACTGATAGGAATGCAGAAGGATTGTATTATGGGTTCCTAGCATTTTCCTAGTCAATCAGTTATTTTCCTTTGAAAAGTTTTGGTACATTGACAAGTAATTCTACTAATTTACAAAGGCAACAATCAAACACACCAATAGAACTTTAGAGATTTATAACCTGTGTAAAGATGAGAGTCTCAGAGCTTCTGCTGTCCAAACTGAGTACAAATCTGATGGACTGGAAAAGTTCCTGGATACTGATTCTGAATTGTTCCTCCTCCATTCCACAAGTAGCTCTGGAGTAAAGGATCCGAGATTGAACAATAAACTTGAAAAGATATTCCAATGCCTTAAGAACAGGAGAAGAATTAGGAAAAAAAAAGAACAAGGGATTTATAAATAGCCAGAGGGGGAAAATTAAGTACATTATTAATATTCAAATTCTTATCCTTTATGTGAAGGATATTACTATTATTATTATTATTAAACTTATTTGCTGCCCATCTCAGAGTTTGAAGCGACTCTGAGAGGTGGATGGATACATATTTATTTAGTTAACAATCAATAAAATAAATCAAAATTTAGCATTCTCTTCCAAGAAAGCTATTTGCAAAAATGGCAGGTTCCAAGTATTTGCAAAACAAATACCTACAATTTATTGTTAGTTGACAAATTATGGCCTGATATTTTTTATCTTAGTAGGAGAATAGCAATAATGTAATTAATATTTACATATATAAAATATGAACCAAACAGACAAAATGGGTTAATATTTTTTAAAGAAAAACTTGATGAGATCTGGATAGCACTGTAGTACAAAAAGGTTATTCAGTTTTTTAAATTTGTTTTCCAAGTTTGGACATTAATATTATCATTTTTTCTTAATATTAATTATGAATGGATTATTAAGCTCATGTGAGAAATAACATGGAGGAATCCAACTGTTATCTGTATGTTTGAAAAGAAATTGCACCTTTCAGCAAATCTTCTAGTTCCATTGTTGATGAGTGAGTACATTTTTATTCCGGTGTTTTTCCCCAGACTTAAATTAATCTACTGACTCAGCAACAATAAATCTGACTTGTAACCCATTTTAAGCTCCAAAATATCACCTTCTTAAATCAATATTTTGAGGTAAGCATTTAATTCTAAATAGCACCACTGAAGATCGATATTGCTGGAAATCACTGAAAAAACTCATTAAATAATATATTATTTAATTTTCATTCCTAATTAAGTTTTGCCCTTAGAAAAGAAATATTTTCTTTTTAAACTGAGTAATATTTACATAGAATACATACCCGCATTGCTTCTTGAATATGATCCTGTCGTACTACTTCAGCTGATCGATCCATATACCATTTCAAACAGCGGATGAGTTCTCTGAATAAAAAAATCACAACGACAGACATTTCAACAGGAGAGAAGCTCAAAGTGACAGATTTTTCTGAAATATATCAATATCTATATCTATACTTACATCTATTTATATGCATACATGTATGTTTCTATATGTATATATGTGTGTGTGTATACATGTATGTAACAATAAATTAAATAATGCTTTAGCAGCACAATTTTGATCTATAATCACTGGACTTTCAGTGACTGATTATGCTCTGTTTTTAACTCTTTGCTATGCTGATTCTATAAACCAGGGGTCCCCAACCCCCGGTCTGTAGACCAGTACTGGGCCGCAGCATGCCAGCGACCGGGCCGCACAAACAAGTAAAACCCCATCCACAGGATGCAGGCAACATACAAAACCATGCCCCCTCCGGTCCACAGAAAAACCTCTCTCCACGTAATCGGTCCCTGGTGCCCAAAAGGTTGGAGTCCTTTGCTATAAACTATTCTCTGTGAGAACTTAGTATGTATAAAACCCCAAGCAAATGAATATCCTTTTCTAAAAATCACTGTATTGATATAAACATTTACTTAATAAACTGGCCTCCATAAAGAGATTACTTACTTATATGCCAGAGCTCCTGCAAAGTGCTTCTGAATATAAGTGTCCATTACAGGTCGAAAATGAAAATATTTACTATCACGCAAAAGATTTATGATAAAAACCTAAAAGAGAAAGATAAAAAAGAAACATGTTTAGGAAGGCAAAGACAACAACAACAACAAAACAACAACAACAACAACAATAATAATAATAATAATAATAATAATAATAATAATAATAATAATAATAATAAAGTTGGAAGGAATCTTGGAAGTCATCTATTCCAACCCCCTGCTCAGGCAGGAAACCCTATACCATTTCAGACAAATGGCTGTCCAATCTCTTCTTAAAAACTTCCAGTGTTGGAGCATTCACAGCTTCTGGAGGCAGGTTGTTCCACTGATTAATTGTTCAAACTGTCAGGAAGTTTCTCCTTAGTTCTAGGTTGCTTCTCTCTTTGGTTAGTTTTCATCCATTGCTTCTTGTCCTACCTTCAGGTGTTTTGGAGAATAGCTTGACTCTCTCTTCTTTGTGTCAACCCCTGAGATATTGGAACACTGCTATCATGTCCCCCCTCATCCTTCTCTTCATTAAACTAGACATACCCAATTCCAGCAACCGTTCCTTGTATGTTTTAGTCTCCAGCCCCCTAATTATCTTTGTTGCTCTACTCTGTACTCTTTCTAGAGTCTCAACATCTCTTTTACATCGCGGTGACCAAAACTGGATGCAGTATTCCAGGTTTGGCCTTACCAAGGCATTGTAAAGTGGTATTAACACTTCATGTGATCTTGATTCTATCCCTCTATTAATGCAGCCTAGCACTGTATTGGCTTTTTTGGCAGCTGCAGCACACTGCTGGTTCATTTTTAAGTGATTGTCCACTAGGACTCCGAGATCCCTCTCGCAGTTATTGAGCAAAGTACCTCCTATACTATACCTGTGCATTTGGTTTTTCTTGCCTAAATGTAGAACCTTACCTTTTTCACCATTGAATTTCATTTTGTTAGATAGCGCCCAGTGTTCAAGTCTGTGAAGATCCTTCTGTATCTTAAGCCTGTGTTCTGGAATGTTGGCTATTCCTGCCAGGATGCGTGCACAGACACTCGCCCACCACTTCCACCGCCCGGTTCTAAAAGGCTCAAGGCCCAGTAGTGGGCCGTGGCCTGGAGGTTGGGGACCTCTGTTTTAATTAACTTTTAATGTTGAATTTTAATCATCCTTCCCCTTTTTAAATTGTATGTATGATGTCACTATGACTTTATGTGAAGTTCCTTTTATTAGATCTTGCCACTGCTGAAATCCTTGTAAGGAATGATTATATTTCAATCTTACTGCATGATTTGAGAAAAAAATATAGCTATTTTGAAAAGGTGGTCACGGCTCCTTGCACCACACAAATCACCTTTTTCCTGTTGAATATGAAGTAAACAATAGCCCTAGAATTTAAAACACTGGTCAATTAAGAATATTTTAATTTTAGAATGTCTTCTAAACAGATACTTGTTCGCTCTCTAGATTTTAATCAAGAAAAATGAAATAGCAAGTGCCTTATCTTTCTTAAAATAGGATGGTCAAAACCTACATAAAGTAATTTGCAGATTTTCAAGGATGCTTGATTTCTAGCTTTTAACAATCAAAAATGATTCTTCAGTCCCAATTTAGGCAGCCAAATACACAAACAATAGAATCAGTTCTCATATTAAAATGAATTCTTAGTTTAATCATTAGCTCAGAAATATTTGTTTCTTAAGAGTACGTAGGCTATTTGTATATTGCCATACATAACAGTATGACTGTAGTTGGTGTATAAACTTCACCATCAGATGGCCCAAATCAGTAAATTTAATTCACAGAAAGTCATGAGAATACTGAACATTTAAGAATAAAATAATTTGCAACTATTCTAATATTTCCAAGGCTAGCTAAACACTCAAACATGTGGCAATTATTCAACATTTCAAAGTTAAGAGGCAATAACATTTAGCATTCAAGGAAGCTCATGGAAATTGCCATTAATCTGAATTTTTGGAAACAAGGATCAACAAACGAGCCAGTTGGTCTAGTGGTTAAAGCATCAGGCTAGAAAGCAGGAGACTATTCCTGCCTTAGCCATGAAAGCCAGCTGGGTGATCTTGACTCTCTCTCTGCCCAACTCACCTCACAGGGTTGTTGTGGGGAAAATAGGAGAAGAAAGGTGTGTTGGATATGTTCACTGCCTTGAATTATTTGCAAAATAATAAAGGTGGGATAAAAATAAACAAACAATTAAAAAAAACAGAAAAAGATACTATGGTAGTTGTGGATCCACAAGTGATTAAAAAGGATTTGGAAAAGTTTCAGCAACTAATGCGGCGAAGGGAAATAGTATCTTAATGTTTAGAAAAGTATTGAGGGGAAAGTGCCCTCACATCTTGCCTCAAAATATTGATCTGTCAGAAATATTTTGTGCTTACCAAAGATTGAAAGACCAGAAGTCCATATTTTTCTGTGTTATCATCCAGAATCACAAACAATGTATCCAGAATATCCTGCAAGAACTTGAAAAGCACAGGGATTTTTAGTATCTCTTTTTAGAAAGTTCTAGCAAACCAAACAATTTCATAATTTTCTGACATTGTTTGTAAGAAGTACATTTATTATTCTCTTTTAATTCTAAAGTACAATATTATATAGAAAATCAAAACCAGATATTCTGAGCAAATTTAATTTTTTCTAGTCTTCAATTTGTTTTATGAGCCCTTTTTATTAAGTCAAATCCACTCAATAATGACTATCAAATCTGAGGCAAAAATCCAGATTAATCTTTTTGACAGGGTTCTCATATGGCACTAATGAAGTATTAGAAGTTAAGGATGCCAGACCATCACATCCCTAAACAGCTCTTCTATGGTGAGCTGTCTCAAGGAAAGCGATCGCACGGGGGACAAAAGAAGCGATACAAAGACACACTGAAAGCATTTCTCAAGTCCCTGGATATCGACACCATCTCTTGGGAATTTTTGGCGCATGATCGACCGACAACCGCATGGGACCAAATGGTCCCCACGGTCTGTATACTTGTGTCCTCCTGTTAGAACCGTGTTCTCTTCGCTCGTGAGGCATTTCGGTCTCGACGTTTACGACTTCGTTGTCACAGGTGTAAAGAGACAAGTCATACAGGCAGAACATTCCGTGCTAACATCGGTCTCATCAGCCATCTACGGACACACCGTTGATGGCTCACAATCCACAAGATGTCAAGGTCTTCATCGAAAATCGATGGACAAACAACACATGGTTATATTTATATATTTATACAATATAAGCAATCATATACACATTTTTATATTTTTAAAAATTAATAAGGATCTAGACAGGATCCACAACAAGAACAAGCATACAACATGATGGTAAAAGTGAGGACAAGGATGCTGGCAGGAAAATGTTCAAATGGTTTTGAGGAAAAATTTCCAACCATTTGGTGTAAACTGATAATTTTAATCCTTGAGTTACGACTGCAGTTAGAACTGAAATTCTTGTCACTAAGCAATGTGGTGTAAAAGGTGATGTCATGTGACCACATCACTGAGTAACAGCAATCCAGAAAATCCTAGTTGTCATTGTAACCCCAGATGTGCAGATTGTCAAGACTAAGCATTATTTGTTAGCCTTATTAATACTATATCACAGATTTTCAATACATGTGATGAAATGTGCACCTGGAGAAGGAGTGGGGAAGGGATCTCGGCAAGAATGCCATGGTTTCCCCAGGAGGAGACTCTACATTCCAGCCCAGAATAAAAGTCTGTGCACTCCTGAACTAGCTGGGGGAGGGAGGAAGAGTGGCCACACCTAGAATCTCTCAGAATATATCTATTAGGTTAAAAGGTTATAGCTTTAGCCTGGCAAGATTCTTTCTATTAAATCGAAGCAAATAAAGTATTGGACTAGATGGGACTGGACCTGACAATATACCAGTGTTATTTTTAAAAAAATGCGGCAGGAAAAGAAGATTTGAAATAGTTCAGGGTCCTCCATATCATTTTAGTTCATAAACTAATGAAGAGAATTTGACATATCACTTCTTACACTGATGATTAAGGTAATCACACTGAGATTTTATTTATTGATAAATACAAATATTAATCAATCATTTTGGTTTTTTCCCTAAAAACAATGAGTTATTGTAATTAATTTGTTAATAATAGCTTAGACCAAATTCAATACCTTAACAATTTCTTCACCGCTAACTTGGCGTAGTCTACCTAAAATATCCATTACACGATCTGGATAAGCTTTCCACTTCAGAAGAGCAAGCAGGTCCACTGTATATAATATAAAGGAAATAATATATTAATAAGTATATAAATAATAGTACCATTATCTAAAACACTCTGAATACATTGGTAGCAATTTTTTGTGGATTTTTATGAAGATCATTTAGTCCTGGGCATGAACAAAATATAAAATATATTTGTTAAATAATTTGAGAAACTATTGGATACAACTGTGATTAATACTTGTAATTTCATTTATATTGTTCTCTTGTTTTCACAGTATGTGAACTAGAAACATTAATTCAAATGAAAGTGCACTTCACAATTTGATAAGGAAGAAAAAATGCTGCTGGATATCTGTAAGAAATTTTGCTTCCCAAAATGAATTGAATTACAGAAGATCATACATTATCTTAGTATTTTTAAAAATACTAAAAAATATTTTTTAAAATTATAATAATCATGAAGTCTAAAAATAAGTTAGGAAAACATGTTATTTAGCAAGATTTTTCTCTTCTTTCAAGGTCTGTGCTATCTAATATTTTTCCAAACTAAAAATTATTTGCTTCCTTTTTAATTCTAGAAAACTCCATTAGGTGTTTTAGAAGGCTATAAAAACACATAATCTAAGGTATTTATTTGTATATGAAATAATGTGATTTTGTTACTCATTAGGTGTATTCACTCATAATGATAAACCAGAATGGATTTTTTACAGTCATGATCATTGAACAAACGGCAGTGTCTTCTATACTGCATAACTAAAACATAACGGCATAACATACTAAACCAGACTAAAAAATGCTGTCTAAACAACTTTAATTTAGTAAGTATTGTAGGAATATGTCCTATCTGAAAATGCTTGATGTAATTACAGTAGGTGGCAGCATCTAGACAAGTTGGTTGATCTTGGAAAAAACCTGATTAACTGAAAAAAAAAATGCCAATCACATCAATTTTTGTTATCAGAAAAACTACATGGGCATATCCTTGTGATCACCAGGAGTCAAGATCAATAGGAAAGAATCATTGCTTCTTTATCTGTTCTGCCTGAATCCAAATGCTAAAATATTCAAGTGGCAGAAGGTAAATTTGGTCAAATGTTTAGAGGACTTGCTTAATTAAGTTAGAATGTGGTTTTTGCTTGTTAATTTGTAGAAATTTGGGTGAGAAGTAGTTTTGTGTATATACAGTAGCTGCTCTTACAATGTAAATTGGAAGCAACCAGCTATCTCGCAAAAAGAAATAAGGAAATAAGAATGTATAAGCTAACTAAATTTTTGTTTTCAAATTAATGCTAGAAAAAATAAGCATCAATTTGTTTTCTGAGTTACTCTGTTAAACAACAGTTACATAAAACAACTATAATCTAGGCAAGCCAGGTAATTAAGAAAAGTTTTTTCTTACAATTGTCCATTAAGTTCATAGAGATTAAACTATTGGAATTTATTAAACTATTATAAAAACCTGAGTTTTATTACCAATCCCTGAAGACACAGGTTGAACATAGAAAATGTAGCTTCTTTCTGCATTCATAGGTGAAATACTGTAATACTGTAAACCACCTAGAGTGCAATACGATATATACTGCTCAAAAAAATAAAGGGAACGCAAACTCCTTCAGTTCCATGATAAAATGTTCCCTTTATTTTTTTGAGCAGTATATATTGGCGGCATATACATTTCATGAGTAAATAATACATTTTCAAGGCTACTTGTTATGAATTTGTACACTAAATACTCAATTCTTTGAATTTTTCTGTTATTGTTAAAATAATAAATTATATTTTATTTACAATTGTGATTGGGAAGTTAATCACAGCAAAGTATGTATTTTTAATTTGAAAATATTTTCTGTTTTGTGTCTCACAACTGTTTCATACACATAGAAACAGAGTCTTTCAAGTACAGATACATGCTGCAAGTAACCAAATCAATCAGAACTGCCATGTGAAAATCCGCTTCAAGCATGTATATAAGTAAGACCATTATGCTTTATTGAAAAGATAGACTATGTATCATCTGTCTTATGAATTCTTGGAATAAAAAACTGCTGTACCATTCTGAGTAAGTTTGGTAGAAGACAGTTGAGTAGTGATTGAAAACAACTCTTTGGTGCTGCGCTGAAAAATCAAGCTTGAAGGGATGTTGGGACAACCATTATAATCTTCTTTGCAGCATGGAAGACCCAAGTAAAGTGCATGGTTATTGAATGTGCTGTTTTCATCACACTGGAGATACAAGAAAATAAATTATTCAATTTTTTATTTTGTTCTATACATTGTTACATTAATCAGATTAGGGTGAAGATTCATTCTCTGAGCCTTGTGGGTTGGTTTCCGAACATTTCATTATCAGGCTAGGTAACATGTTCAGAAAAGTTTAGAGGGTGTCAGCGTTCTGTTTATAAGGGCTTTGTGATAGATCAGATGTGGATGTGTCAAGTGAGGGTCCTATGATGGATCTTGTGATGGGTCAGGTGTGGGTGTTCCAAGTGAGGGTCTTATAATGGGTCTTGTGATGGGACAGGTGTGAGTCTTCAATAAGAGTCTCATAATGGGTCTTATGATGGAGAGGTTACATCAATGTGTCTGTTGATGGAATTGCTTGTGGAGTGCCAGCCTTTGATGAACTCATGAGTGTGGCAGGTGCTAGCATGGCCAATGATTTCTGTTGCTCAAATCGAAGCCTGGCACTCCACAAGCAATTTCATCAACAGACACATTGATCTACAACCAGCCTACAAACCCCTTAGAATCCAAATCAATCACACAGACAACAAGAGACAGCACCGACCCTCAACCAACCCAAGCAAGCCTCAATCAGCACTTCACCTCCCAATGACCCTCACCTGATGTAACTTCCCCATCCCAAGATCCATCCCAAGACTCTCACTGATGACTCATATCTGACCCATCACAAGACCCTCACTTGACACACTCATACCTGACCCTCACAAGATCTACTGACCACAGAAGAACACTGATATTGACATCCCCTAAACTCTGCTGAAGATGTTACCTGGCCTGGTAAAAAAATGTTTGGAAACCAACTCACAAGCTGGAGAATGAACCTTCACCCTCATCCGCCTGAACTACAGATATTTGCCACTACTGCTAATCAGACTATATTGAAAAGCAGCACTGATCCTATTCATGTATATGTTTTGCCTACAAATACGTACAACCTTCATTTATTAATTACATCATTTAGAAAACCTTTATTTTTACAATAATCAAAAAGTTACATGTATCTGCCATTAGAATTAGCTTCCTTTAAAT